GAATTCTCAAACCCCGATAGAGGGAATAGGATCAATTCCCATTGTAGCATGTATATTACTTGCTCTGTTAATTATTGTCGTTATTGCCGTTATTTGGTTCGTGGTGAGACGTATATGGAATATAGGTAGGCTCAAAGAGCCATTGCTCCGCAATAAAAAAAGTGATCGGCTATGGAATACGTGGACTAGGTATTAGGAACTATCTATTTAAACTTCGATATTATTTATGTACGAAAAAAATATCATCTTCAAGCTTTTTTTGTCTTATAAAGAACTCGCGTCTCACTTTTTTTCGAACTTGGGAGAAAAAAAGAAAAAAGAGCGCGAGAGTATGAGTGAGGCCGACTTCTTAGAACATAAGCGAAATTTTGAGGCTAAAATGAAAGTTCCTACTACTCCGCACAAAAAAGAACTGAAAAATAAATATTTAGCAATCATTGAATATGCATAGGCATTATAAATCTTTCGATAAAGCAGGTATCAAAATAATATTATCTAGTTAAGTAGTAATTTCTGAAGGAGAGAGATTGCTACATTCAACTAGTCATTCATCTCAGGTAAAGAGTTTTGTGCCTCTTACAAACAAGTGCGGAAAAAATTCAAATAAAAAATTAATACTTCGATATCTAGATTATATAAAGGGGATTTTTGTGTCGCGCAATTTTGATTAAGATAAATTTCAGATAAGTATGTCTGATATATAAGGTACGTATGAGTCATAGACTCGAAGCTCAGCTTCCTCGATAACCATTTTTGTGTTGCCTAATTCAGGTATCAATAAAATAATACTTCAAGGTATCGAAAAAAGTGACACTCCAAAGTTTTCAAATTAGTGATACCCCAAAGTTTCATTTTCTGATTATAGTAGTGTTCACGTTTTTTGATACATGTTTGATAATGATATCCCAAAGTTTTCAATATAGTGTTATCTCAAAATTTTCGATATAGTGTTATTCCAAAGTTTTCTATAGTGTTATCTCAAAGTTTTCAATATAGTGTTATTCCAAAGTTTGCTATAGTGTTATCCCAAAGTTTTCGATATAATGATATTTTGAAATATATAAAAAGTACGATTTAGGTATTAATATAAACCAGCTAAAATACTGAAAAAAGATGATATCCCAAGGTACAATTATTATAGAAAGATATATAATATATAAAATTATGCTTTGGGATTACATACAAATAGGTATCAAAAAAGTGATACCCCAAGGTATAATTATTACAGAAAGATATATAATATATAAAATTATGCTTTGGGGTATCAACGGATATGATAACAATTCGGCAC